ATTTGAAAAATTCCTCAGATGTGCTTGTCGAGATTTCCCATAAACAACTTCAGTACTCCTCCTTCTACCCTACCTCCCTCCGGCCCTTATCCCAGTTCCAAGTAAGTGTGTGTGTGTGTGTGTGTGTGTGTGTGTGTGTGTGTGTGTGTGTGCGCGCCTGCGCGTGCACGCATGCGGTCACTTAATTGAGCAAGTCATTATCGTCCTTTAATAGGATCATGTGTCAGCCACATTAACATATCAACTGATCACTGTTAAATCCTGCACTCGGTGGATTCACCCCCTCCCCCCCACCCCACCCCGTCCCCACCCGCTTCCTGAATTAACTACCATAACAGCTCCCACCTCCCCACCCCATATTTTTCCTTTTTCCACAAAAAAAGAAATTTAAAGTCCCAAGAATTTTCAGAGATTAGTAAAGTCATATATAGGGGTTATAAACGAGCACGTGCAAGGATGTCATGCCACAACTGTGTAACTGGACGAGCGAAATAGGTCAGATCTTTTGGTTGATCCCAAACTACAGCTGAAGTTAATCTGCTGGTCCTTAATAGATAATCAAGAGTTAATATTGCTCTCTGAATAAAGAGAACGCTGTGGGATGTCATTTGTGTCGTCTCTCGTCATTTATAAACCATATTGTTCTTTGCGATTTTACAACTTTTAAAGAAACTAGCTAGTTACAAGTACGGTATCGTTGTCAGTGAGAATATGAAATGGAATAGGTTTAACGCCCCTATCAATACTATTAGGTTATTTAAGATACAGGACCTCCGAGTTTAATGTGCATCTCCGACAGGACATTGCCAAATAGGAAATTCGTATAAGGTGCCTTTCCCAAGGACACAACGTCGGACCGAGCTGAGGCTCGAATTCTGGTGTCTGTGATGTAGCGGTCAGGCACTCCGTCACAGTATACAGAAGACGTGACTTCGATTTATGGGGGGGGGGGGGTGGGGCGGGCAGGGGTATTTTGCATTGAACATTTCGGTCTTTCTGCGGAGAAGTTGTGTACCTCTCAGCCTGGAGTGGTCCTGACAGGCAGGGTCAAAGCCCACCTCCTTAATGGTCTAAATTGTGACGATGGGGACAATTTAAAGAATTTTTTAAAAAGCAAACAAACCAACAAACAGTAAAAAATAACCAATTTTTTTAAAATAAAAAAGAAGGTAAATTAACAATAGCTACGCGGTTAGAGCATAACACAGCCGTGGCTTACAGTGTGCGGTCGCCCGGATCCCCTTTGTTACCCCAGACCAGAGAGAGATTGTCTCGGGCGATTTGAAACAACACTACCCCCTGTCTGTGTACCTCTATGTGATATCTGTAGATCTATCTCTGTGTGTGTGTGTGTGTGTGTGTGTGTGTGTGTGTGTGTGTGTGTGTGTGTGTGTGTGTGTGTGTGTGTGTGTGTGTGTGTGTGTGACATCGTTGTAATATCAGGCGCTCGTCAGAATAATAAAATCAAAGAATTTTCCTTCTCGTAAGGCAATGTTTATTAACTTTTTTTCTTGTATTTACTAATTTTCTTGTATTTACTAATTTTCTTGGGGGGGGGGGGTTAACGTCTTTTATGTCCATTTAAACACACATTTCTACGTGGAATTTTATTGAAAAACGTCGGTCAAAAGCACCGAAAATATAGATTTATAATTTCAAAGGACACTCAAACTTTGGAAGTCAGAAAACTTTGGCAGCTATTTTCTCGCTAGTTCTACTAGGTGATCCCCATCTTCTTAAATCACAAATATTAATTCTGACTTCTATTCGCGATAGATGGGTATTTTTTCACCAAATGCAAGATAAATTAACGAGCTTTTAGATGACACCAATATCTTTTCATGCTAAAAAATTGACGAGCGCCTGATTCCACCGTGTCGTGACACATTTGACCCTAAACAGAGAGCCCAAGAAAGAACAGAGAGATTATATTCGACGTTTTGAAACAGCACTGATCCGTGTCGCTGGCCCGCTATGTGATATCTAGTGTAGATCTATCCGTGTATTGTGCTAAGGTCTTATCATGCTGGTAACTGTAATTAAAGTTGGTGGGTGGTTCTTCGTGTTTTTCCCCGCAGGCCGAGAAGTCAAAAGAACGTAGTTAAATCTGTATAGGTTTTAATGATAATTAATTGTGATGATGATAGTGACAATGAAAATGACAAATAAAAATTGATACAGTGATGATAATAATGATAAAGCTTAGAACAACAACAACAACAACAACAACAACAACAACAACAACAACAACAACATCACCAACAACAGCAACAATAAGAATAATTATAATAATAATAAAAATAATAATAATAATAATAATAATAATAATAATAATAATAATAATAATAATAATAATAATAATAATAATAATAATAATAATAATAATTA